GTCAGGAGTTCGAGACCAGCCTGACCAACATGGTGAAACCCCATCTCCTCTAAAAATACAAAAATTAGCCGGGCGTGGTGGCGCATACCTATAATCTCAGCGACTCAGGAGGCTGAGGCACGAGAATCACTTGAACCCAGGAGGTGGAGGTTGCAGTGAGCCGAGATTGCGCCACTGCACTCCAGCCTGGGCAACAGAGCAGGCCTCTGCCTCAATAAATAAATAAATAAAATAAAAATAAAACTGTGAGTCCGGCTAGGCGCAGAGGCTCATGCCTGTAATCCCAGCACATGGGAGGCCTAGGTGGGTAGATCGCCTAAGGTCAGGAGTTTGAGACCAGCTTGACCAATATGGCGAAACCCTGTCTCTATTAAAAATACAAAAATTAGCCAGGCATGGTAGCAGGCACCTGTAGTCCCAGCTACTAGGTAGCCTGAGACAGGAGAATCACTTGAATCCTGGAGGCAGAGGTTGCAGTGAGCTGAGATCGTACCACTGCACTCCAGCCTGGGCAACAGAGCAAGACTTTGTCTCAAAAAAAAAAAAAGAACAAAACCGTGAAGCATGGTGGCTCACACCTGTAATCCCAGCACATTGGGAGGCTGCAGTGGGAGGATTGCTTGAACCAAGGAGTTTGAGGCCAGCCTGGGCAAACACTGGGAGACCCTGTCTCCACAAAAACTAGCCAGGCACAGTGGCACACACCTGTAGTCCCTGGGATCGGAGGCTCACTTGAGTCCAGGAAAGTCGAGGCTGCAGTGAGTCTTGATTGTGCCATTGCACTGCAGCCTAGGCGCTTGATCTCAAAAACAAACAAAAAACCAAGTTACATTTTCTGGTACCAGCAAAGTATTACCTGGAAGCCATCATGTCATGCATAGCATTTTCAGTGCCTCTGCTATTAAGAGCGTTCTGGTTTAGCCATACCCTACACTTTGACACTCTATGAGAGGGAGATCAGGATTCACAGCGTGGACTGTGGAGCTCAGCCCCTTCCTGTCTGGGTGATGACTGACCATGGTTACAGCCCCTCCCCCACCTTGCCCCAGAAGCAGACTCTGAGTGTGACCGTTTCATTTGGGAGGTGCAGGAGATGGCGTTGGGAGTGAGGAAAATCAGGCAGCCTGTAAAGGGTGTGTTACTAAAACTACAGCTGTGGGCTGGGTACGGTGCGGTGGCTCACGCCTGTAATCCCAGCACTTCGGGAGGCCAAGGCAGGTAGATCACCTGAGGTCAGGAGTTCAAGACCAGCTTGACCAATATGGTGAAACCCCATCTCTACTAAAATTATAAAAATAGCTGGGTGTGGTGGTGCATGCCTGTAGTCCCCGCTACTCAGGAGGCTGAGGCAGGAGAATCACTTGAACCCGGGAGGCAGAGGTTGCAGTGAGCCGAGATTGCACCACTGTGCTCCAGCCTGGTGACAGAGTGAGACTCCATCTCAAAAACAACAACAACACTACAGCTGTGTGCAACTGCCTTCCCCTGGGGAATTTGAGGAACAGTCATCCCACCTGCAGATGAGGGAGCTGGGGCTCAAGTACCCTAGCTCCCATCAGTCACTATGGGGCCTGGCCCAGGCTCTTTCTAGCCACTTTAGGGTGGGCAGAACAGCTTTGCGTGGCCCGGGGCCAGTCCTCAGGCGCAGAAATGCAAATACTGGCTCTCGGGAGGACCACAGAGCCGGGTTAGCTAGACCGGAATCACTGCTGTGTGCTGTACATCAGTTTCCTCATCTGCATGTCTAGACTAGGAATGGGGTCTCCACATTGTAGTGCTGCGGTGCAGAATAAATGATTGCATACACGCCACGTGCTTAGAATATTGCCTGCTGTGTGGCAGATGCTCAGTGAACGCTGAGAATGAGTGATTACTGTGCTGTTTCATGTCCCCCCATTCCCTCCAACCCAAGTACCTGGGCCATGTGGAGGTGGAGGAGTCCCGGGGGATGCACGTGTGTGAAGATGCGGTGAAGAAACTGAAGGCGGTGAGTGAAGGGGCTGGCTCGAGGGAGGGGGCAAGATCAGGTGGGGAGAGGTGCCCTGACCTGGCTCCTTTGTCCCCTGTCTCTCCGCAGATGGGCCGAAAGTCCGTGAAGTCTGTCCTGTGGGTGTCAGCCGATGGGCTCCGAGTGGTAGATGACAAGACCAAGGTAGGGGCCTGTGGGGTGGACGCCGGGGGCCTGTCTGCTCACCTGCTAGAATAGGGGCTGAAGACACCGTCCTGCCTCCTCTGCACATCACTCCCTCGGGGACCTTCTAGGCGATGCCGCATGCTCCCTCCGACATCATAACTCAGGAATAAATGCAGTGATTATTTGGGAACTGGCATAGGTTGTGGGTGAGAGAGACTGGAGCAGCTGCCTCAGCTCCAATCCCAGCTTAGGGACCCTGGGTGTGAGATTTAACCCCTCTAGCTCCCAGTTGTGTCATCTAAAAAATGGGGATTATAGGTCGGGAGCAATGGCTCACGCCTGTAATCCCAGCACTTTGAGAGGCTGAGGAGGGTGGATCACCTGAGGTCAGGAGTTCCAGACCAGCCTGGCCAACATGGTGAAACCTCATCTCTACTAAAAATAGAAAAAATTAGCTGGATGTGGTGGCGGGTGCCTGTGATCCTGGCTCCTTGGGAGGCTGAGGCAGGAGAATCGCTTCAACCTGGGAGGTGGAGGTTACAGTGAGCCGAGATTGTGCCATTGCACTCCAGCCTGGGCAACAAGAATGAAACTCTGTCTCAAAAAAATAAAAATAGGGATTGTAATAGACCCTACCATTAAATGAGAAAGCATATGCAGTTATTTGAAATGGTCCCTGGCTGGGAGGACCCCTGGAAGCCAGGAGTTCACGATCAGCCTGTGAAACATAGCGAGGCTCTGTCTATACAAAATAATTTTAAGAAATTTTAAAATATGGGCTGGGCATGGCAGCTGATGGCTGTAATTCCAGCAGTTTGGGAGGCTGAGGTGGGCAGATCACCTGAGGTCAGGAGTTCGAGAGGCCAACATGGTGAAACCCCACCTCTACTAAAAATACAAAATATGGCCGGACATGGTGGCATGTGCCTGTAATTCCAGCTCCTTGGGAGGCTTAGGTAGGAGAATTGTTTGAACCTGGGAGGCAGAGGTTGCAGTGAGCCGAGATCACGCCACTGCACTCCAGCCTGGGTAACAGAGCAAGACTTCATCTGAAAAAAAAAATATATATATATATTTGAATGGGGTCTGGTACATCGTAACTGCTCAGATCAATGAATGTTAGGCATTAAGTGTTTAGTGTCGCCCTGCCCAGCCAGAAGGAAGCACTATGAGGCCACAATGTGGGTATCGGTTTGCTCACCTTGAATCCCCTGGCCCCACCCCAGAGCCTGCCCCAGGAGGTGCCCAGGACATGCTGAGAGTTGGGTTAATGACAGAACAAGATCACCACCTTTGCACAGGCAGTCCCTCAGCCCAAAATACTGTTGCTTGACTTTTTTTCCTGTGCCTGCTCCAGGAAGCCTTCCCTGACTGACCCCAAGCTGGCTTTTGCCATCTGGCCCTGTCCCCTGTGCCTGTGCCTCCCCAGTCCTGGCCCTGATGCCTCTGCCTGGGCCTCCTTCATCACAGCCTGGCTGTGACTCTGGGTTGCCCATCTCATGATGGGTCTGATCTTCCCTCTGATCTGGGAGCCCTCTGCAGGCAGGGCACAGGGTGTCTCAGTGACTGCTGGGTCCCCACCCCATTCAGGACGAGATTTCAGCAGACACAGAGAACGTTAAGTGGACACTTGAAAGACAGTTCACACTCCTCTCCTGGCCTCCCTGGCCCCTCCTAGGACCTTCTGGTCGACCAGACCATCGAAAAGGTCTCCTTTTGTGCTCCTGACCGCAACCTGGACAAGGCTTTCTCCTACATCTGCCGTGACGGGACCACCCGCCGCTGGATCTGCCACTGTTTTCTGGCGCTCAAGGACTCTGTGAGTATTGCCACAGCTGGCCGACCCTTCTCTCCCATGCCCTGGCATCCCAGCCCCACCCCGGCAAGCTTCCTGCATTCGGGCAAGTCACTTATCTCTGTGTGTCCAGTTTCCTGATCTGGAGAAGAGGGTATACTCACAGTTCCCAATTTAGAGTACTCATGTGAGGGCCGGGTGAGGCGGCTCACACCTGTAATCCCAGCACTTTGGAATGCTGATGCGGGCAGATTGCCTGAGCTCAGGAGTTCAAGACCACCCTGGGCAACATGGTAAAACCCCATCTCTAATAAAATACAAAAAATCAGCCAGGTGTAGTGGCACAGGCCTGTAGACCCAGCTACTCAGGAGGCTGAGGCAGGAGAATCACTTGAGCCTGGGAGGTGGAGGTCTCAGTGAGCTGAGATTGTGCCACTGCAGTCCAGCTTGGGCAACAGAGTGAGACTCCATCTCAAAAAAAAAAAAAAATAGTATTGGCCGCGCATGGTGGCTCATGCCTGTAATCCCAGCACTTTGGGAGGCTGAGGCGGGCAGATCACCTGAGGTCAGGAATTTGAGACCAGCCTGACCAACATGGTGGAAACCTGTCTCTACTAAAACTACGAAAAATTAGCTGGGCGTGGTGGCGGATGCCTGTCATCTCAGCTACTCCAGAGGCTGAGACAGGAGAATCCCTTGAACCCTGGAGACGGAGGATGCAGTGAGCCAAGATTGCACCACTGCACTCCAGCCTGGGTGACAGAGCGAGACTCTGTCTGAAAACAAAAAACAAAAAACAAAAAAAATCCAAAAAACTATTTGGGGATGAGAATGAAAGCCGGAAAAGAGCAGGACCATCTCCTCTAGGTAAAGAGTGTGATTGGATAAATTCATTCCTACTTCTGAGGAAACAGGAAGTTTTAAGCATTAAGCCGTGGAATTCCCAGGATTCCCCAAGTTCAACATTTTTTGTTTCTTGAGGTGAAAGTCACATAAAATGAATCATTTAAAAGTGTACAATTCAATGGCATTTAATACATTTTCAGTGTTATTTAACCATCGACTCTATGTGGTCCTGAAACATTGTCATCACCCCTAAAGGAGCCCCCATCTCCATTAGGCAATTCACTCCCTGTCATCCCTACCCCAGCTCCCTGGCAACCAGTAATCTGCTTTCTGTCCCTATGGATTTACCTATTCTGAGTATTTCATTTACTGGAATCACATAATATAAGTCTGGCTTCTTTCACTTAGTGTAATTTTTTTTTTTTTGAGACGGAGTTTCGCTCTTGTTACCCAGGCTGGAGTGCAATGGCGTGATCTCGGCTCACCGCAACCTCCGCCTCCTGGGTTCAGGCAATTCTCCTGCCTCAGCCTCCTGAGTAGCTGGGATTACAGGCACGTGCCACCATGCCCAGCTAATTTTTTGTAGTTTTAGTAGAGACGGGGTTTCACCATGTTGACCAGGATGGTCTCGATCTCTTGACCTCGTGATCCACCCACCTCGGCCTCCCAAAGTGCTGGGATTACAGGCTTGAGCCACCACGCCCGGCTAGTGTAATTTTTTTTGACATAAAGTTTCACTCTTGTCGCCCGGGCTAGAGTGCAATGGCGCAATCTCAGCTCACACCTCTGCCTCCTGGGTTCAAGCAGTTCTCCTGCCTCAGCCTCCCCAGTAGCTGGGATTACAGGTGCACGCCACCATGCCAGGCTAATTTTTGTAGTTTTAGTAGATATAGGATTTCACCAGGTTGGTCGGATGGTCTCGAACTCCTGGCCTCAAGTGATCCGCCTGCCTCAGCCTCTCAAAGTGCTGGGATTACAGACGTGAGCCACTGTGCCCAGACCATCTGATTCTTTTTGTATGTCAAATTTGTAGGTATCAGACTATTCCCCCACCATACTTCAGCATGCACACCATTAAATAGAATTTGTATTTGTTTCCAGATTTTTTTTTCTTCAAAGTGAAATATATGATTGTCTTAGTTCAGGCTGCTGTATCCAAATACCATAGACTCTGTGGCTTAAATGGCAAACATTGGTTTCTCACAGTTCTAGAGGCTGCATGCCTGAGCTCAGGGTGCCAAATGGTTTATTTCTTGGTAAGGACTCTCTTTCTGGTTTGCAGATGTACGCCTTCTTTCTGTATCCTCGCCTGGCAGGGTGGAGGGGAGATCTCATGTCTCTCTCTTTTTTTTTTTTTTTTGAGACAGAGTCTTGCTCTGTTGCCCAGGCTTGAGTGCAGTGGCACGATCTGGGCTCACTGCAACCTCCACCTCCCAAGTTCAAGCGATTCTCCTGCCTCGGCCTCCTGAGTAGCTGGGATTACAGGTGCCCAGCTAACTTTTCTATTTTTAATAGAGACTGGGTTTTACTGTGTTGGCCAGGCTGGTCTCTAACTCCTGACCTTGTGATCCGCCCACCTTGGCCTCCCAAAGTGCTGGGATTACAGGTGTGAGCCGCTGCACCCGGCCCCTTTCTCTTTTTTTTTTTTTTTTTTGAACGGAGTTTCGCTCTTGTTACCCAGGCTGGAGTGCAATGTCGCGATCTCGGCTCACCGCAACCTCCGCCTCCTGGGTTCAGGCAATTCTCCTGCCTCAGCCTCCTGAGTAGCTGGGATTACAGGCACGCACCACCATGCCCAGCTAATTTTTTGTAGTTTTTTTAGTAGAGACGGGGTTTCACCATGCTGACCAGGATGGTCTCGATCTCTTGACCTCGTGATCCACCCGCCTCGGCCTCCCAAAGTGCTGGGATTACAGGCTTGAGCCACTGCGCCCGGCCCCTCTTTCTTTTTTTTATAAGGGCATTAATCTTGGCCGTGTGCAGTGGCTCACACCTGTAATCCCAACACTTGGGAGGCCGAGGTAGTAGATCACTTGAAATCAGCAGTTCGAGACCAACTTTGTCAACATCGTAAAATCCTGTCTCTACTAAAAATACAAAAATTAGCCAGCCAGGCGTGATGGTGCATGCCTGTAATCCCGGCTACTTGGGAGGTTGAGGCAGGCAGGAGAATTGCTTGAAGCCAGGAGTTGGAGGTTACAGTGAGCTGAGGTCGTGCCACTGCACTCCAGCCTGGGCGACAAAGTGAGACTCTGTCCCAGAAAAAAAAATAAATAAATAAGGGCATTAATTCCCTCATGAGGACCCCAACTCATGATCTGACATAACTGTCATCTCCCAAAGGCCCACATCCAAATACCAGCACACTGTGGATGAGGTCTTCAGCATTTGAACTGAGAGACACATGCACTTAGTCCATAGCAACGCTGTGCACAAGCCTTCAGTGTGCAATCAATGAATTTCGACAACTGCATACACCCATGTACCCAAACCCCCGCCAATATCTAGAACATTGCCACCACCCAGTCAGCCCCTCATGCCCCTTTGCAGTCATTCCGCACCCCACAGGAAACCACCGCTCTTTTGACTTTTTTTTTTTTTTGAGACGGAGTCTTGCTCCGTCGCCCAGGCTGGAGTGCAGTGGCACAATCTCGGCTCACTGCAACCTCTGCCTGTTGGGTTCAAGCAATTCTCCTGCCTCAGCCTCCTGAGTAGCTGGGATTACAGGCACCTGCCACCATGCCCAGCTAATTTTTGTATTTTTAATAGAGATGGGGTTTCACCATCTTGGCCAGGCTGGTCTTGAACTCCTGACAGCCTGATCCACCCGCCTCAACCTCCCAAAGTGCTGGGATTACAGATGTGAGCCACTGTGCCTGGCCTGGCTTCTTTTTGAGACAGAGTCTCACTCTGTTGCCCAAGCTGGAGTACAGTGGTGCAATCATAGCTCCCTGCATCCTCGACCTCCTGGGCTCAAGCCAACCTCCCGCCTCAGCCTCCCAAAGTGCTAGGATTACAGGTGAGAGCCACCACTCCTGGTCTGTTCTGATGTTTTTCACCACAGATTAGTTTTGCCTCTTCTAGAATTTCTGGTAAGTGGAGGCATACAACAGCCACTTGTTGGTTTCTGGCGTCTTTCACTTGGAGCTGTCATTTCCAGCCTTTTGTCATGGTACAGATGAGCACTGAGGCCCAGAGAAGCGCAGGGACTCATCTGGGGCGACCCAGCACCTAGCGGCTGTAACCCAGCAACCCTGGCCCCCGCCTGCACTGCACAGCGCCTTGAACCCCCGCCCATCCTCTCCCCACAGGGCGAGAGGCTGAGCCATGCTGTGGGCTGTGCTTTTGCCGCCTGCCTGGAGCGAAAACAGCGACGGGAGAAGGAATGTGGGGTCACGGCCGCCTTCGATGCCAGCCGCACCAGCTTCGCCCGCGAGGGCTCCTTCCGTCTGTCTGGGGGTGGGCGGCCCGCGGAGCGAGAGGCCCCAGACAAGAAGAAAGGTGGGTGCTGCCCTGAGCACCGTCAGGTCACAGAGTGGGCACAGGGCACCCAGTGTCAGAGTAGGGGCAGCAGAGGTACAGGGATGCAACAGTTTACAAAGCAGGGCATGCTTCAAGCAAGGCACCATGGCTCCTGCCTGTAATCCCAGCACTTTGGGAGGCCAAGGTGGGTGGATCACTTAAGGTCAGAAGTTCGAGACCAGCCTGGGCAACATGATGAAACCTCGTCTCTACTAAAAATACAAAAATTAACTGGGCATGGTGGCCTCTGTCTAATCCTAGCTACTCAGAAGGCTAAGGCGGGAGGATCTCTGGAACCTGGGAGGTGGAGGTTGCAGTGAGCAGAGATCGCGCCACTATACTCCAGCCTGGGTAACAGAGTGAGACTCTGTCTCAAAAAAAAAAATAAATAAACAAATAAAGCAAATTCCATGGAGGGAGTTCTTTGGCCAGTATTGTAAGGGCGCACCAAGTGGTTTACTCTCTGCCAATCAGGGCTTCTCGGGCCTTTTCTTTTTTCTAGGTTTTTTTGAGACAGAGTCTTGCTCTGTTGCCCAGGCTGGAGTGCAGTGGTGTGATCTTGGCTCACTGCAACCTCCGCCTCCTGGATTCAAGCGATTCTTGTGCCCCAGCCTCCCGAGTAGCTGGGATTACAGGTGCGGCTAATTTTTTGTAGTTTTAGTAGAGATGGGGTTTCACCATGTTGGCCAGGCTGATCTCAAACTCCTGACCTCAGGTGATCTGCCCTCCTTGGCCTCCCAGAGTGCTGGGATTACAGGCGTGAGCCACCACACCCGACCTTCTGAGGGCTTCGACCTGTGTATCAAGACCTGTGAAGCCAATGTGCTGCACTGTGGCTGTCATTTTTGTTTGGTTTTGTTTTCTGAGTTGAGGTCTGATTCTGTCGCCCAGGCTGGAGTGCAGTGGCACTATCACAGCTCCCTGCAGCCTCAAACTCCTGGGCTCAAGTAATCCTCCTGCCTCAGCCTCCGGGTAGCTGGGAATATGGGCATGTGCCACAGCATCTGGCTAATGTTTTTATTTTTATTTTTTGTAGAAATGGAATCTTGCTGTGTTTCCCAGGCTGGTCTCACAACTTCTGACCTCAAACGACCCTCCCACCTCAGCTTCCCAAAGCACTGGTATTCTAGCTGTGGAGCACCAGGCCCAGCCCATTTGGCTGGCATTTTAATAAATGAAATCAACCGGGGCAACATAGGGAAACCCTGTCTCTCCCAATAATTAAAAATTAGCCAGGCGTGGTGGTGCAGCCTGTAGTCCCAGCTACTCAGGAGGCTGAGGCAGGAGGTCACCTGGGCCCAGGAGGTAGAGGCTACAGTGAGCCGTGATCGTGCCACCACACTCCAACCTGGGTGACAGACAGAGACCCTGTCTCAAAAAAAAAAAAAAAAAATTCATTTAATTTTAAAACAATGGGCCGGGCGTGGTGGCTCACGCCTGTAATCCCAGCACTTTGGGAGGCCGAGGCGGGTGGATCACGAGGTCAAGAGATCGAGACCATCCTGGTCAACACGGTGAAACCCCGTCTCTACTAAAAATACAAAAAACATTAGCTGGGCATGGTGGCGCATGCCTGTAATCCCAGCTACTCAGGAGGTTGAGGCAGGAGAATCGCCTGAACCCAGGAGGCGGAGGTTGCGGTGAGCCAAGATCGCGCCGTTGCACTCCAGCCTGGGTAGCAAGAGTGAAACTCCGTCTTAAAAAAAAAAAAAAAAAAAAAAAACAATGAAATAGAGAATCAGAAAATATCAGAGAGGCCAGGTGCAGTGGCTCACACCTGTAATCCCAGCACTTTGGGAGGATGAGGTGGGCAGATCACCTGAGGTCAGGAGTTTGGGACCAGCCTCGCCAACGTGGTGAAATCCCGTCTCTACTAAAAATACAAAAATTAGCTGGGCATAGTGGTGCATGCCTGTAATTCCAGCTACTCGGGAGGCTGAGGCAAGGAGAATTGCTTGAACCCAGGAAGTGAAGGTTGTAGTGAGCCGAAATCACCCCACTTCACTCCAGCTTGGGCGAAAGAGCGAGACTTCACCTCAAAAAAAACAAAAGAAAATGTCAGAGTATATTAAATGGCATAAGGATTAAATATAACTTAATGATACTTTTGAGTGAGAATGTGTGTGTGTGTGTGTGTGTGTGTGTGTGAGGTTATCATGTAGAGTCGGGCACGGTGGCTCATGCCTGTAATCCCAGCACTTTGGGAGACTGAGGTGGACGGATCACTTGAGGTCAGGAGTTCAAGACCAGCCTGGCCAACAAGGGGAAACCCTGTCTCTAAAAAAAAAAAAAAGGCCTGCGAAGGGGTGGGAAAACAAACAAAAAAAAGAGCTTACCATGTAAAAAGTATCTCTTATTCTGGATTGCCATCAAGAAAATTTGAAACATACTTGGTAAAAGCAACTTTCTAGGTAAATGGTAAACACTTTGTAAGTTACAAAACCGTGTATGTGTGTATAATTGTATGTATGTCCCGAGTCACAATATAATTATTATTTTTTTACTGTGAATTCTACTTTTAAGTTTTTTGGGAGAACACTGCTTAGAATTTACAAAGAATTTACCATTGGGAACTGATCCTGATTAAAGGAGACTGATGAGATTTGGCTGGTATTAATAGATGCAAGATGCGATCCTGAATTGGATCCCAGATTGTAAGGGGAAAAAAAAGAAGGGCATTGTTTTTTTTTTTTTTTTTTTTTTTTGACGCAGAGTCTCTCTCTGTCACCCAGGCTGGAGTGCAGTGGTGTGATCTTGGCTCACTGCAACTTCTGCCTTCTGGTTTCAAGTGATTCGTGTGCCTCAGCCTCTTGAGTAGCTGAGATTACAGGTGCCCGCCACCACGCCCAGCTAAGTTTTTTTTTTTTTTAGACAGAGTCTTGCTCTATCTCCCAGGCTTGAGTGCAATGGTGTGAACTCAGCTCACTGCAACCTCTGCCTCCCAGGTTCAAGCGATTCTCCTGCCTCAGCCTCCTAAGTAGCTGGGATCCCAGGCATGTGCCACTATGCTCAGCTAATTTTTTTTTTTTTTTTTCATTTTTAGTAGAGACAGGATTTCACTGTGTTGGCAAGGCTAGTCTTGAACTCCTGACCTCAAGTGATCTGCCCACTTCGCCCTCCCAAAGTGCTGGGATTATAGGCATGAGACACCACACCCAGCCACGCTTTTGTTGGATTCCAAAGCATTTAACATTCACTACCTAAAATGACCCTCCCGGAGGCTTGGGAGGTAGCATTGAGATGTTTACCCAGGTTTCCAGTTGGCAGACTGGAGCCCAGAGAGGGGAGGGGACTTTCTGAGGTCACACAGTGAGTAGGGGCACAGGTAGTTTCCTGGTTCCAACCTATCCTGGGCTGTTTCCGCTGCCCTGTGGCAGGCCTGCGTGGGTGCCCCATTGTGTCACCCTGGACGATGGGAGAAGCAGCACGGGGTGACATCCTTCTGGGAGGGTCTCTCTGGGCCTGAGTTCAATCTCCGTGGCTTTCAGGCCGCGGCTCAGGGAGGCCCTGGTAGGAGGATAGGTGTGTGTTTGTGGTCTGGCAGGGGTGAGGGGAGCCCTGACCTTGAAGAGCCTGCCTCTCCTGCTGAGTGGGAAGGTCAGGTTTCCTCCCAAAGGACAGAGAACAGACTCCGAGTGGAGGGAGCCAGGCTGAGGGACTGGAATAATCTGGAAAGCTTTTCAGAGGACGAAGCATCCAAGCCATGTCTAGAATGACTGGAGGAAGGGAGGAGCTACATGAGGTGGGAAGAAGGCTGGGAAGTGGGAGACAAGGGGACAGACAGTGTCAGAGAAAGATAACACGAGATGGAGAGACAGGCCAGAGGGAGACAGGTCGGGGCCGTCATTTGGAGCATGGGCTCTGGAGTCAGCCTGTCCCTTCCTAGTAGTGTGACTTGGGCAGATCACACTGGGCCTTTGCTGGGCCTCAGTTTCCACATCTGTTAAATGGGGACCATGTCAACCCCGTGGGTGGTCATGTGGATTGAATGAGTGAACACTTGCAAAGCATCTGGAACATGCCTGATAATGTTGTTCCGGCACCAAATAAGTGTTTGTTAAATGGTCAGAAAGGGAGAGGTTCTTAGAGGGAAGAATGATGAGAGCAGCAGAGCAAGACAGATCATGGGCAGGAACCTGGAGAGACGCAGAGGGTGAGCCTGGGGGATGGTTTATTTAAGGGCGTCCTGGGGAAGGGAATCTTGACGTGGGTGGGGGTGAGGGGTGTCTCAGGGCTCTGATCAGCTTAAAGGCAGGACTCACTGGGCAAGGGAGGCAGCCTTGGAGAATGATCAAGACGACCAGGTGGGAGAAGCCTCGAATGTCATGGTGAGATCTCTAACCATCCTTCTCCCCCATGTCTCCAGCAGAGGCAGCAGCAGCCCCCACTGTGGCTCCTGGCCCTGCCCAGCCTGGGCATGTGTCCCCAACACCAGCCACCACATCCCCCGGTGAGAAGGGTGAGGCAGGCACTCCTGTGGCTGCAGGTACCACTGCGGCTGCCATCCCCCGGCGCCATGCCCCGCTGGAGCAGCTGGTTCGCCAGGGCTCCTTCCGTGGGTTCCCGGCACTCAGCCAGAAGAACTCGCCTTTCAAACGGCAGCTGAGCCTACGGCTGAATGAGCTGCCATCCACGCTGCAGCGCCGCACTGACTTCCAGGTGAAGGGCACAGGTGAGCCCTGGGCCCAGTGGGAAAGGACTTTGGACTCAATTGGCATTACCTGATGTGGGCAAGGGATGGAGGCGAGATGGTTCACACTGTGATTGATTAGCACTGTCTGCCATGGGCAAAGGAGAAAGAGGTGGAACACATCATGATCAATTAGCAATGTCTGCCATGGGCAAGGCAGAGGAAAGAGATGGCAGAATTCAGGATTGATAAGCCATGTCTGCAATGAGTAAGGGATAGCAGAAAGGCATCACAAATTACGATCAATTAGCAGTGTCTGCTGTGGTTAAGGAAAAGGAGAAGGATGATGCACATCATGATTGGTTAGCAAAGCCTGCTATGGACAAAGAAGTTGGCATGGGTAAGGAAGTTTGCCATGGCCAGGGAAAGAAGGGAAGCAACACAGATGGCCTGTTTTTGCTCTGGAGTAGACTAAAGCACTGTAGGTTAATGCTCCCTCCCTTCAAGCATTTGCCCATGAGATCTGGCTAGGTGAAGGATATAGGTATTCCTCAGGCTCAGAGGAAAGGAGGATTGTGATGGATTAGCAATGTCTGCCTAGGGCAGGGAGCATCAAGGGTTGGCAGAAAAGGCATCACAAATCATGATCAATTAGCAACATCTGCTGTGGTTAAGGAAAACGAGAAGGATGGTGCACATTGTGATTGGTTAGCAATCATGATATCCTTACAGTGTTTGTTGTGGGCAAGGGAGAAGAGAGAGTAGCAGGAGTGTTGTGTTTTTGCCCAAAGGGGAGACTCCCAGAATTTGGTCAGTAGAAACATGACGTGCAGGGCACCACTGAGCTCAGAGATCCCATGGGTCGGGGCCATAATGATGGATGGGGACATTGGTTGCGGGCACAGAGTTAAGCAGAGCCAGTACCCATCACGAAGAAAAGGAGTGGCATATCATAATTGATTGGTAGTGTCTGCCATGGGTGGTGGTAGGAGAGAGGAGATAGAAAGGTCCTGTTTTACTTGGGGGAAGATGGAGTTATAAGGATCTGTTTGTTCTAGTACTTGGCCAGGGGAGCCATGAGGTCTGGTCAGGTGACAGGTAAGGTGAGCAAAGAGCCCGTGGGGGAAAAATTAGTGTTTGATTACTAATATCTGCCATGTGCCAGGGAAAGGAGACAGGTGGCGTAGATCATGATCTAAAAGTGATGTCTAGGTGCAGTGGCTCATGCCTGTGGTCCCAGCACTTTGGGAGGCCAAGGCAGGCAGGCAGATCACTTGAGCCCAGGAGGGGCTCAAGGATCAGCTGAAGCAGATCACTTGGCTGAACCCTGTCTCTACAAAAAAATGCAAAAACTAGCCAGGTGTGGTGGTGCATGCCTGTGGTCTCAGCTTCTCAGGAGGCTGAGGAAGGAGAATTTCTTGAGGCCAGGAGGTTGAGGCTGCAGTGCGCTAAGACTGCACCACTTCACTGTAGCCTGGGCAACAGAGTGAGATTCTGCCTCAAAAAAATAAAAGAATTAAGAGCAATGTCTGCCATGGGAAGGGGAGAAGATAGAGTTGGCATGCTACTGAGATTTTGCCTGAGGGAGGCAGGGAGAAGGGCTCTCTCCCTGGCCAGCAGCCAGTGAAGCCGTGTGGTCTGGCCCACTCTCCTGCTTCTGGATGGCAAATCCGTGTCGCCTACCCGAATGGCCTCGGGGATTGCTGTGGGAGCATGTTGAGCTGTATCCAGGAGGCTGGGCTGCTCTGAAAGGTAACCGTGGAGCAGATGCCAACCCCTATTGAGAGTGACGCACACTCACTCCACGCCTGCAGCACTCCTTGGCTGTCACACACCCTCACATTTGCTGTCCTCATGCAGCCCGACGTCAGGCACGCTCCCCAGGCTGTGACACACGCTCCTGAGAGGTGGCAGGAGCTCCAGGATTTATTTGGAAGCCTCACCCTCCTGTGGCCAGCTGCATGCTCACTTGGATGTGACTTGCCACAGAGAAATTTCCCATACCCAAATAGATGTCACACCCTCACGCATGTCACACATGCTCAGGAAGTCACAAACTCAGAGTCGTGTACACTCTCAAGTCACACACACTCCGAAATTGCAGAGTCAGAAGTCACACATGGCCAGATGTAGTGGCTCACACCTGTAATCCTAACACTTTGGGAGGCCAAGGTGGGAGGATCACTTGAGCTCAGAAGTTTGAGACCAGCCTGGGCAACACAGCAAGATCTCATCTCTGCAAAAAAATGCTTTAAATTAACCTTATTGTTAACCAGGTGCGGTGGCATGCACCTGTCGTCCCAGCTACTCAGGGGGATTGCTTGAGCCTGGGAGGGGAGGTTGCAGTGAGCCAAGCTTGTGCCAGTACACTTCAGCCTGGGCCGCAGAGTGAGACCCTGTCTCAAAAATATAAATAAACATTAAAGAAATCACACACCCAGATTTACACACGTTCACAGACCATACACCCAGATTTGTGCAAACGCCAAAGCCACATGTACAGATTCATGTACACCTGCAAACACACTCATACATCACACGGCAGATGCTCTCATACCTGGGAGTCACGCATCAGGATGCCACACACTCAGACTCCAGCCACACTCTGGCGCCACACCCTCAGAAGCTGCATGCCTGTTTGGATGAACGTGCACAATCACTGTCAGCAATGGCTGTCCCACCTGGGCCCCCACAGCACACCTGCTGCCTCCTGCAGCCAGTTCTGATGTTCACTGGAGCATCTACATGGCCCCTTGGAGGCAGCCATTGGCTAAAAAGTCACAGACATTTGTCCCGCATCACACATGGCAGTCCTTAATTGTTTATTTGGATGGGTACTGCACTCACCCCACACCCTTGTGGGGCCATCTTGCCTGCTTGGTGCCTCCTGCCTTGCTGACAAAGGTGCGTCTCAGCTCTCATGATGTTTGCTATAGGCCAGGCCAGGTGGGGTGCACAGGGCCCCACTTCTCTGCCTGGAGCTGGACAAACGATCCCCAGCCAGTGAGTGGCCATGTGGCCAGCAACCATTCAGACTGGGCCCACGTCCTTGCTGTGCACGTGGTTGGGCATGTTTTTATACTAACGTATGTCGCTAAATGTTTTCGACATCTCTTCTGGTTTGTGGCTGCACACAGATCTTGAGGTCCTTGGTTTGAGGTCCCTGTTCACTGTCAGCTGTCAAATATCACACACCACCTTAGTCATTCTGCCACTCAGATGTGACACCCACATCTGCACAGGTATTTGGTGGCCATGGCCACTTAGTTACTACAGCAGGAAAATATCCAGGTCAGAAGAGAGGGCCACCGAGAGCGTGGGGTAAAGGGCAGGGCCTGGGCCTGTTTGCTGACCTCTGTCCTGCCCTGTTCCCAGTGCCTGAGCTGGAGCCTCCTGGCGCCGGCGACAGTGACAGCATCAACGCTCTGTGCACACAGATCAGTTCGTCTTTTGCCAGTGCCGGAGTGCCAGCACCCGGGCCACCACCTGCTACAACAGGTAAAGCCAGGCTTTCTACTGGGCAGATGCCCTGCATGCCCCTCCTGCACCCCCTCCTCTACCCACAGCTACCCAGACACTCCAGGGGTCTTGGGATCCTACAGGCTTAGAACCAGGGATCACCTCAGAGCCAGGGGATCATCCTAGATCCAGGGATCATCTCAGAGCCATGGGATTACCTGAGAATCATGCACTCACCTTAGAACCATGGATCATCTTAGAGCCATGGGATACCTGAGAATCACCTTAGAACCATGGGTCATCTTAGAGCCAGGGGATCTCCTAGATCCAGCTGAGAATCATGCAATCACCTTAGAACCATGGATCATCTTAGAGCCATGGGATTACCTGAGAATCATGCAATTACCTTAGAACCAGGGGATCTCCTAGATCCAGCTGAGAATCATGCAATCACCTTAGAACCATGGATCATTTTAGAGCCATGGGATTACCTGAGAATCATGCAATTACCTTAGATCCAGGGATCATCTTAGAGCCATGGGATTACCTGAGAATCATGCAATTACCTTAGAACCATGGATCATCTTAGAGCCATGGGATACCTGAGAATCACCTTAGATCCAGGGATCATCTTAGAGCCATGGGAGTACCTGAGAATCATACGATCCCCTTAGAGCCATGGATCATCTTAGTGCCCTTGATCATTTTAGACCCATGGGATCACCTTAGCACCATGGGATCATCCTCTAACTATGGATCATCTTAGAGCCATGGGATCACCTAGAATCATGTGATCACCTTAGAACCATGAATTATCTTAGAGATATGGGATCATCTTAGAACCATAAGATCATCTCAGAGGCACGGGCTCATCCTAGAATCTTGGGATCACATTAGAGCCAAGAGATCATTTTAGAATCATGGACTCACTTGAGAACCATGTATCATCTTAGAGCCATGGGCTTATCCTATAACCACAGGAGCACCTTAGAATCCCAAACACTGTAAATAGAGAACTCGCGAATCTTAGAAGCCCAACCTTAAACCATCAAGCCTTACTCACTACGTTAGGATAATATTATACATTTGGAGAAAGATCCATGCAATCTTAGAATCTGAACTCCTAAAACAATACATTCTGAAAGTGAGAGAGAATCAAGGATGGTATTCAAGATAGTGAATACTGGCTGAGTGTGGTGGCTCATGCCTGTAATCCTGCTACTTTGGGAGGCGTAGGCAGGAGGACCACGTGAGGTAGGAGTTTGAGACCAGCCTGGGCAACATAGTGGTGAAACCTCATCTTTACCAAAAATACAAAAAATATAACCTGCAATCCCAGCTACTCAGGAGACTGAGGCACGAGAATTGCTTGAACCTGGGAGGCAGAGGTTGCAGTGAGCTGAGATAGGGCCTCTGCATCCCAGCCTGGGCAACAGAGTGAGACTTTCAAAAAACAAACAGAACAAAACAGTGAAGCCCAGGTTTGGCACTTAGCAGTCAGAAGGGCAGTGGAGCAGGGAGGATGTCAGTCCTACTTAGATTTCCCATCATAGGCCTTAGAGGCTCAGAACTGTATGTTCTTATCACTCCAGAACCATTAAGTGGTCCAGAACGGTGAAGTCACTTGCCTGAAGTCAGCAAGCTAGGAGGTGCAGAGCTGGGACTCAGAGGCCGGCGGTCTGGCTCCAGAGTCTGTGCTCTGCTCCCCACACCATGCAGTTCTTCTGCTGATGCTCCTGTCCCTCACCTGCCCCTCTCCCGTCTCCAGGGACTTCTGCCTGGGGTGAGCCCTCTGTGCCCCCTGCAGCTGCCTTCCAGCCCGGGCACAAGCGGACACCTTCAGAGGCTGAGCGGTGGCTGGAGGAGGTGTCGCAGGTGGCCAAGGCCCAGCAGCAGCAGCAGCAGCAACAGCAACAGCAGCAGCAACAGCAGGCAGCCTCAGTGTCCCCCGTGCCCACCATGCCTCCCGCCCTCCAGCCTTTCACCGCCCCCGTAGGGCCCTTCGACACGGCACCCACCCAAGTGGCTGTGTTCCTGCCACCCCCACACATGCAGCCCCCTTTTGTGCCCACCTACCCGGGCTTAGGCTACCCACCGATGCCCCGGGTGCCCGTGGTGGGCATCACGCCCTCACAGATGGTGGCCAACGCCTTCTGCTCAGCTGCCCAGCTCCAGCCCCAGCCTGCCACCCTGCTTGGGAAAGCTGGGGCCTTCCCACCCCCTGGCATACCCAGTGCCCCTGGGAGCCAGGCCCGCCCTCGCCCCAATGGGGCCCCCTGGCCCCCGGAGCCAGCGCCTGCCCCAGCCCCGGAGTTGGACCCCTTTGAGGCCCAGTGGGCGGCATTAGAAGGCAAACCCGCTGTAGAGAAACCCTCCAACCCCTTTTCTGGCGACTTGCAGAAGACATTCGAGATTGAACTGTAGCCCGAGCCGCCCCACCCACCCCACGTGCCCCACGCCTGGGAGTGGAGGCACAACCTCTCCCCTAACCCTGCCCCCTGGGGCTGCGCCCCTCAACACCCTCTCAACACCCCCACCTCTCTCAGCCACCCCACAACCACTACAGAACCAACATTGTGACACCCAGGTTGCAACAGGATGGAATTCAGGGACGGACCCAGCCTGGCTAAGGGAACCATTTCACTGCCGGACTTAGGCTGGCAATGCCCCCTTCCCCCACCCCAGACACAGGGGATTGGCCACAATCCCACTGAATGCCCTCAGTTCACACTTCATTTCCCAGTTTCTGTTGACCTCCCACCTTCCAGTGTTGGACAGGATGGAGGGGGGATACCTGCTCAGGGGCTCTCCTGGGCCCCACACCAGTGCCCACCCCAAATCTGGTCATCTCCTCCCCCCATACACAGCACAAGCTAAGGGCTGCCCTCTGCCCACACTTGTTCACTGCCAATGCTGAACTCACCCCCATCGCCCTCCAACTCTGGGGCCCATGTCTTCCTTGGGCCAAGGTCTCATGGGGACTGGGGCCAAGTTGGGGGCCCAGGAGGCAGGGAGGGGGGAGGGGAGGAAGATGCGTAGTTACCTCATGATGGTGCCCGCTGGGGAGGGGTCCGGGAAGAAGGGGAAGGGGTGCCTGGCGGGTACTTTTCTATCTTTTATTTCCAGATTTTTTTTGTATCTAAACTTGAAGATTTGTATTATACAAGGACAGCCAATAAAGGAAGAATATAACGCCCCTTGGGAAACAAGGGTTTGTGTAGGGGCTGGCGCGGCCCCAGAGCCTTTCCTCCTGAGTCATGGACTGAAACGGAGTCAGAAGGGTGTCCGTGAGTGATAACCTGTGAGTCACTGCGTGGTAACAGGTACCACTGACTCAGTACCTGCCAGGCAGGTATTAAAGGAGCCAAAATTAATCACCCCATTTCTATTCCTTACAGAATTTGAACCAAGAAATTAAAAACAAATATTATAAACTGCTGGTCTGGCATAGTGGCTCACGCCTGTAATCCCAGTACTTTGGGAGGCCAAGGCAGGCAGATCACTTCAGGTCAGGAGTTCGAGACCAGCCTGGCCAACATGGAGAAACCTCATCTCTACTAAAAATTGAAAAATTAGCTGGGTGTGGTGGCACACACCTGTAGTCCCAGCTATTCTTTTTCATTTGTGTTTGTTTTCTTTTCTTTTTTTTTTTTTTGAGACAGAGTTTCACTCTTGTTACCCAGGCTGGAGTGCAATGGCGCAATCTCGGCTCACCGCAACCTCCGCCTCCTGGGTTCAGGCAATTCTCCTGCCTCAGCCTCCCGAGTAGCTGGGATTACAGGCACGCGCCACCATGCCCAGCTAATGTTTTGTATTTTTAGTAGAGACGGGGTTTCACCATGTTGACCAGGATGGTCTCGATCTCTTGACCTCGTGATCCACCCGCCTCGGCCTCCCAAAGTGCTGGGATTACAGGCTTGAGCCACCGCGCCCGGCTGTGTTTTGTTTTCTGTTGTTAACAAATGTTTGGTATTTTCTCAATTCCAGCTATTCTTGAGGCTGAGGCACAAGAATCACTTGAACCCGGGCAGTGGAGGTTGCAGTGAGCCAAGGTCACACCACTGCACTCCAGCCTGGGCAACAGAGTAAGACCGCTGAAAAAACAAACTTCCAGTCAGTCCAATATTAATATTTTAACAAGTCGGGTTGGTAGTAGTCTCTCTTTGCCCGTGCTGGCAAATGCCTGTTTTGTCAGCATTTTCCATAACTCTGGCCAAAGTGTCACCTGATGTGGCAACGTTTGGCAGTCTCGGTGGTGTTTCTTGGGTCCTTTGATCTAATGTATAAGATGTATTTAAATATATATATAATATATAAATTTTGCTTTGTTATAGCTCTTTAAAATGAGGTGATTGATTCCGTGCAGTCCAATATTCCATTCCCAATGGATAGATGGGGAAGGTGAGTCAGTTGCCTACAGTGATACATCTGATTAGTTCAGGGAGCCGTGATTCAAACCCAGCTTCTGGCCAAAGCCAATGCCAGTCGAAGCACTCTGGGAGGCTGAGGCAGGTGGATTACCTGAGGTTGGGCGTTTGAGACCAGCCTGGCCAACATGGTGAAACTCTGTCTCTACTAAAAATACAAAAAAAAAAAAAAAAAAAAAAAAAGCCGGGCTTGGTGGTAAGTACCTGTAATCCCAGCTACTTGGGAGGCCGAGGCAGGAGAATCACTTGAACCTGGGAGGCCAAGATTGCAGTGAACTGAGATTGCACCACTGCACTCCAGCCTGGGCAACAGAGCGAGACTCCATCTCAAAACAAACAAACAGGCCAGGTGTGGTGGCTCACGTCTATGATCCCAGCACTTTGGGAAGCTGAGGCAGGTGGATCACTGGTCAGGACTTGGAGACCAGCCTACCCAATCCACATGGTGAAACCCCATCTCTACTAAAAATAACAGAAATTAGCTGGACATGGTGGCAGGCACCTGTAATCCCAGCTGCTCGGGAGGCTGAGGCAGGAGAATAGTTTAAATCAGGAGGCGGAGGCTGCAGTGAGCTGAGATAGCACCACTGCACTCCAGCCTGGGTGACAGGGCGAGACTCCATCTCAAAAAACAACGTCAGGCCGTGAGGGGACAAGCCTAGGGCCTGCCTTCTCCAGCGTTTCCATTACAGCCCATTCGCCTGCTCATGGACACCAGGTCTTGGAGACCCGAGACGGCTCTGTCAAGGTGGGGTGTTGGGGGGATTCCCCAGGGAGGGAGCAGAGGACCCTGTCAGAGATGAGCCACACTCTTACCTCCAAGCCTTTGCATTTGACATGCTCTCTGCCTAGGACACCCTTCCCTTCAGGGTGACGCAGCACTTCCCAGAAGAATGCTACTCATGGACTCAGTTCAAATACCTCCTCTTAGAAGCTGACCCTCTTCCAAGGCCCTGAGCCCCATCCCATCCTTTCATGAGTGTTTATTTATTTTTTGAGATGGAGTCTTACTCTATCATCCAGGCTGGAGTGCAGTGGTTCTATCTTGGCTCATTGCAGCCTCCCCCTCCTGGGCTTAAGTGATTCTCCTGCCTCAGCCTCCCAAGTAGCTGGAACTATAGGCGCCCAACACCGCACCCAGCTAATTTTTGTATTTTTAGTAGAGGCAGGGTTTCACCATGTTGGCCAGGCTGGTCTGGAACTCCTGACATCAAGCGATTTGCCTGCCTCAGCTTTCGAAAGTGTTGGGATTACAGGTGTGAGCCACCGTGCCCAGCCCAGTAGTTTTGCTATTATTATTTTAGAGACGGGGGTCTCATTCTATCACCCAGGCTGGAGTGCAGTCCCGCAATCATAGCTCATTGCAGGCTTGAATTCCTGGGCCCAAGCAGTCCTCCCACCTCAGCCCCCACGTAGCTGGGACTACAGGTGTGCACCACTATGCCCAACTGATTTTTAAATTATTTTGTAGAGATGGGAGGGGGGTCCTCTCTATGTTGTCCAATCTTGTCTGGAACTCCTGGCCTGAAGCGATCCTCCTGTCTCTGTCTCCCAAAGTGCTGGGATTACAGGCAGGAGCCACGGGCGCCCGGCCCCCATCCTGTCTTTGTGGTCTAAGTTTAGACAGCTCTTCAACCCCCCAGACTGAGTAAGCAGCACCCACTCTCCTCTTGGATCCTACAGGCCCCTGTCCTCCCCTATCCCAGCCCTGACCCATCTGCCTGTGCCTCCCGCGTCCTCTCAATGACGCATTGTGGGCTGTCACTATCCGGCTTGGCAGGTCTATCTGCCTCACTGGACTGTGAGGCAGAAAGGGGTCCGGGGGCGGGGGGGGGGCAGTCTCAGTCACTTCTCGGTGCCAGCTTCTCGGTGCCAGCACAGGGTCAGGCACAGAAGAGGCAGCCTCAGTGGTTCCCTTCCGCAAACCACTAGGGAGTGAGAGGGGCAGAAACGGCCTAAGAGGGGGACAGAGAGGATTTGAGCAACTAGACGGATGGAGGTAGAAGCACGCGGCGAATCTGGGACACAGTCAGGGCACCCCCACCCCGTCCCTGACTGATCTCTTCATACAATCAGCCTTCCCTGCGCCCAGAGCAGCCTTCCTCAGAGCCACCCCCACAGCAGTCCCCGCGGATGCAGATGGAAGGGGGCGGTCCCGGGGAGGACCTCCCACAGGCTTCTCTTGGCCCACTTCCCATCTTGCCTCCCACGCCCAGGATGGAGACTCTGGCTCTCCATGGAGCTTTTCGCTCCAAAGAGATCTGGAGCCGGGATCAACCTCCCATTCCCACTTCCCCAGGTTGCAGCCCGCTCAGAATAGACTGCACTGAAAGCCCCGCCCTACCCGGGAACCCCATCCCACGGAAACTCCCATCGAGGTCATTTTAGGGGAACAGGAGGACGTCCCCGTGCGGCCGGTTCTGCACCCCTCACCCTTGCTTTGAGAAGCTCCGCCCTCTGCTGCAGCCCCGCCCCTCGCGGCCGCCCCCTCTCCCGGAACCGCCCCCGGCCGTGCGGACTATTTTCATGCATTCCATGGGTGACAGAGCCGGGCGCCCCCACCTTGCTTCCTGTTGGGTGTTTTTGTTTGTTTGTTTTTGTTTTTTTGGAAAGTTCCGCCTCCAGGGGGGCCGCAGAGGCTCCGGGAGCCGCCCGCGCAGGACCGCGGACAGCCCTGGCCCCTCGTTGCCCCACGCTGGGACCGCCCCACGGAGCGCGGCGTCTCGTCCTCCCTGGGGCCCGCCGCTTCCACCGCCCTGTGCGGGGCCACGCGCTACCCCGGGGCCCCGGCTGTAACCGGCCCCCAGCCACCCTTCACGCGCGCGTGCCGTACCTCCCGCTCGTGCGGGGCCACGTGGTCGCCGGAGACGCTCCCCGAGGGTGGGGGAGCAGCGCCCCCTCGTGGCCCTGCGCTCGCGGCGCCCGGGCTGCAGCCCCGCCAAAACTAGGCTCAGGCAGGAAAAGTTTCAGAAAAGTAAAAACAGGCCCGGGTGGCCTGGAGAAAACCCTTCTCTACTAAAAATACGAAAAGTATCCAGGCGTGGTGACTCACGCCTGTAATCCTAGCACTTTGGGAGGCCGAGGCGGGCGGATCACCTGAGGTCAGGAGTTAAAGACCAGCCTGCCAACATGGCAGAACCCCATCTCTATTAAAAATACAGAAATTAGCTGGGCGTGGTGGTGTGTGCCTTTCAGCTGCTTGGGAGGCTGAGGCAGGAGAATCGCTTGAACCCAGGAGGCGGAGGCTGCAGTGAGCCCAGATCAGACCACTGCACTCCAGCGACAGATGGAAACTCAGTCTCAAAAATAAAAAAAATTGCTGTCGCATCTATGAACATTATGCTTCAGGCCCTGACTCAGCTATTCGCCCAATGGGAAGTCCTCCCTCACTGGTCAGTCACCTCCTTTGGGCTCCTATGGTCCCTTATGCTCCTCAGCCCCGACTGGGCCGGATCTGTCTGCCTGCACCTCTCTCATCTGGACCCCAACCTCTCTGCCCTCTGCCTGCACCTTCCCAGTCCCGGCCAACCCCTCTGCCTGTGCCCAGCCCAACCTCTCTGCCCCACTGTGACCCTCCTGCCCATGCTTCCCCCATCCTGGCACCTCCCCCATCCCCCCCCACCACTCTGCCTGTCGCCTCCCACCATCCCGCCGTGAGGACTCTAGGCGGATACTGTGTGTAATGGGTCGGTCTCCCCACCCTGCAGAAAGCCTTGTGAGGGCAGGGAAGAGAGCTGTCCTGATAACCACTGTGTCTGGCCCGGCAAGGTGGCTCACGC